GTTAAAACGATATTGGTTTGCGGACGGCCTACGGTTAGGATACTTTGCCAATTCCGTTTCTCATATTTTTTACATTACGCAATGTGATTTTCAGCGTTCATTTTTATTGCAGAGTAAGCTTTCCATCGCTATTTTTGTATTGCGGGCTACACACGATACCCTTGCCGAAAATAATCAGCAAGTCGTTCAGCAAACAATACTTTACATACACGAAAATAGTGTCAAGCTTGACAAAATAGTTCTAAAGAGAAAAACTGATTATATCTCAGGCATCCAATTTTACGCTGACCCGAGAACTTACAATAACAAGTTTTCCGAGTTCATCGAAGTATCGCACCACGGGAAGCGTGACCTGCTTGAAAAAGTTGATTCGCTGGCTGATTATATGACCTTCATCTTCCACACGTCGGATTCGGGCTCCCCGTTTTGATAGCCGTTGGTTCAGTGTGCTTTCTTCGCAGTCGAGAAGTACGATGAGGTCAGCTCCACCAATCTAGGCGTAGAACCAAAATAAAGTAACATAATAACTTTAGGAGAGGCATAATATGCCCTTACTCATAACATATTTAAGTAAACGAGTATTGAAAAAGAGTAAATTTCTAAGTGACCCTCATACTCCAAATACCTACAATAAATTACTGCAGAACCTGATAGTATGCTGATATCACAAAAGTACCTGCTACGCAATACCGTCGTTCTTGAGAACCCGCTTACGAATTTAGGTAATTTTCGTTTTTCGCTATTTTACAGTATGTCGACGATAGTGATAGGCTTAAGGTGGTATCTGTTGCCATTAAATAATAAAAATAAGCTAAAATACCGGCTTATTAAATCGTTTGTAGCTCAGGCTAGATCGTTGAAACACGCTTCGGAATAAGAAGACGAAACACAAGTTCAAAAATTCTAGAAGGCTAGAGAGAACTTAAGACCAAAACATTTCGTGCACAGAGTCAATATAATCGGCCCAAAAGAGCCCAATTTTTATTTTATTTCTATTAGAACTACACTCGCAAGTAATGCGGATCATTGTTCTTGTCGCAAGTGCTCGTTTGTGAACGGATATAACCGAAATATGAGGTAAAACTTCCGACCAATAAACAACTGATTTTCAGTCGTGACATTGATTTTCATGGTTTACTTTTATAGTGGTTTCTACAGAGGATTAAAATTAACTGTGAAGTCTGGTTTTTTTAGGTTAATACGTTACTGATGGGATCGAATTTGACCCCTGCACAAAAACTCCATCTGCTAGTATTTCCGCGAAATACAGGATCTGGTTGTTTTAAAATCAACGTAGAACATACAAAAAACTATA